TGCCTGGTTTATTTAATTATGATAAAGTATTCTATGGCTATCTGCCTAAAAAACGGAGTTCTTTTTAGAGGACTTTCTGAGACAGACTGGCATGTATCCACATCATACATGAGAAAAAGTTTCGAAAACGCCCACGCAACAGATCATCGGAATCGAGCCCAAGCCGAACTACCAGTGTTCAGCTACTTTAATGCTCGGCTACCGGTGGGTTACTACGATTTGTGTTTGTAGAAATTTGACAGAAAACTCTCCTGGTCAAATGCAGGACATAAAATTTCTATCTCAACAAATAAAACTTCTTAGATATGAATGCCTATGGAAAACTCCTGACTCTCCGTTAACTATTTTTAATTCAGAAATTTGCAATTTTTGCTACAACCTTCAAATTTTATTATTTGTGAGTGCGCGAGATGAAAGTAACTCACATCAGTACAAATCAATTCAACCAATTATTACCAGTTTATAGATAACAAGCAAATGTCGTATCAGTGCTCAGCATCTTCTAGGTGGTATCTAACAGACATTTCTAAAATTTTCGCTTGCTCATGCGAAATCATAAAAATAAACAGAACAAAGCCAAGATTAAAAGGAAAAGTCAGGAATATTTAGAATGACTCTTATAAATATTTCTGAAGTCATAAAAGTCTATGGCCAGATGCTCAGAAAATTAGGATTAAATCAACCGTGGATTGAAAACTGTATTTTTTTCCTCGCCAGGAATTCGGTTTGACGTATCACTTGACAAATATTCCAGTGAGTTAATTTTGAACCTTTGGAAGGCGGAACAGAGGAGGAAGTATATTTATGTATGCTAGAAAATTTTCTGCCTTTATCATGAATAAATGATAGCTTCATTTTTAACCTGATCTTCCTGAGAAGATATGTAGTGTTTATAATAAAGACAGGGTAGATATTTTCCGCACAGTAGGCTGATAATAGCTACTAAAAAAACAATTTTGTTTAATTTTTTGCATCAGACTTCGAAGTTAAAATATTTGGAAGAAAGAGACATTCAATAAATGTCTTATATATGATAACAATCAGGATTCGAGAATTAAATACTAACAGACATTGATATTGCCGAAGAAATTAATCAAGCACAAGTGATGAAAATGGAAGAACTAAAGAGCTCAACAGCCGTTTCGAATGGAGAAATAGGGTGTATCAAAAATGCAATTAATTAATTTAATTAAGTTCTGAACGGGTTGGAAATAAAATGAGAATAAAAATGTGTTCTAATAAAGATTTTAAATTAATATATTTACGTCCAAGTTAACACACATTAAGGGGTTAATACAACCAAGTAAAACCCATAATAATCTTATTTCTCATCCCTCTCATTTCTTCTCATCAGCCTTTCCTTTTAAACTCTTGCCATAATACACCATTCCACGCCTTTGTTACAGAAACTTGCCTTATGACTTGCTACATAATTCAATGGAAATTATCAGTCACCACAGATCTTTCTTTTCCGATTTTTCTCAACCCTTATATGTGTTTCTTGAAACTTCTAATTCTATTTATTCACAATACTACCACTCATGCTATTTTTCACCGATGTAATACAATTTACAATGTTTTCAGCCTCCAGCTTTAATAGAGCCATTCTCGCACTCGGATGAATCAATTCCATTAGGTATCTTTATATTCATGCTGCACAAACAGGACTGCATGGAAGGAAGCATTAGGAAAAATAAATAACATAGCAATGTAGCTTATTTTTGTATACAGCGTATGTATAAAATCCTTATTCGGCCTTTATTTTCACAACCATTGTTCGTTCACATACTAAATATTTTAAGAAAGCAAATATTCGTGTCTGGCGTATTTAAAATTAAGCAAAAATTGCGAAATCTAACGTTTTATGCAATCCCGTCCCTGTAGTTATACTTAGTAAACGTTTAAACTTATTCTAAAAATAACAAAACATAAAACATTTGACTCCGTACAACAGCATTAACCAAGGTAATTAATTTTAAAGTTTTTATATCATCCTTTTAAAAATTCAGGAGTCGCACGTAAATTGAAGAGCGGAATAATAAATTTAAATAAAATTAAAATGAAACACAATTTAAGAAAAGGTTTTGGTGTTAACATATTAGGTAACAAGCACTGATATGCAGAGTGTCGTGAAAAATTTTTATCAATGTAATTTTTTTAAAAAAAGATCTTATTCACACAATCTTATAAAATTCATGTTCCAGAAAATAGCGGCAGTCTCCAAGTATTTACTCTAGCCTACTTGTAACTAATTTTGTATAAATAAAAAATGAAAAATATTTCTAGTGCAATGAAATGTTTTGGGTCACGATTAAATTATGGTTCTAAAGTAATAAATTGCGTATAAATATTAGAGCATTTTTAACATTTGAAAACTTATTGAGTATCTCCTTGAAGATACCTTCACCATACCAAATGCAACAAAATTATAAATTAAAGAATGTTATGCTCTAGCGAATCACAAAGAAATACCACTGAATAATACTAAACTGAAAAACATAAACCTAGAAATATTTTAATTAATTTTTAACAAATCTTTCAAGCAAAGGTAGAAAAATTACCTCACACACTCATTGTTGCGCCATTACGATGAAGCAATAGACTTAAAAGTTGTTGAAATATTGATTACACAGAATGTTGATCCATAATGAAGAGCAAACTTGGCAACCGAGGCAGATTAGATATTAATTTATTTTAAAAAGTTATGTTGCAGCCAAAAGCAACTTGGCACACTGCTCGTGTCTGTTCCAAAACTCTACATTTTTGATAGATTTGCACAAAGAAGAGAGCAACAAGAGCAGTCCAGCTAGGCCGACGTGTAGAAAGTAAATAAATTGTGTTCAGGGTGAAATCTTAATTCAAAATGAGTGAATTTCGTTTCTCAATGCATTTGATTAATTAATACTGCCATAAAATTATCATTGACTTTTTTAGTTCCATTTACATCACCAGAGTTATGAAAGAGTCATATGACATGAATTAGGCTCGAAATGATACAATGCAGAAAAAGGTTACTATTTTTAGAATAGCGAGGTGACATACTAAAAATCAAGCATTAAAGAGCTATTCCTAGTTTAAATTATATTTTACATCTTTCTTACATTCTTACATATTTTATGTAATATAGAACTGATTTTTCTTCAATTTAAAAATACCATAACATGAATATTTGTGTCATTTATACTTTTGTAATTAGCAGTACATATCTAAGCTAACGTCGCTACACAAAGACTGCATAAAGACTTCGTCAATAACATCAGCTGTATAATTCTTTATAAATGGGAATAATTTTAATTCAAATAACCTCTACCTATCAAATAAGCTCTATCAGAACTCATTAATTTTTAAGTAAATAAATGCTCAGTAACATTTATGCATAACATGCACATTTTTTAATTTAATATACAATTGAATGACATTTTGGATGTTTCACGGCCTGTATAATCATTCCTTTGCAATATTTGAAATTTGAATCTTAGATCAATTACTTTTCAGCTGTTATGCAAAATCATAAAACTGTTATATATCATTTTTTAATTCACTTTTATTATTAAATAATGTGTTCCCCCTAAAAAGCATTGTTCACAATATTATTTTTGAACTGCAGGTTGTTGCAATGAAAAGAAACACACACACATATATATATATATATATGTATGAACGTAAATAAACATATATATAATGCAACTTGGAGAGAGTGCATTTTTTTTTTCGAATTTCGCATAACCTATTAGTTTTTGGTACGGCATTTTGTCTTGATTTTAATGTTAAACAACTATTAAAATTTCTATTTCTATATCTAAAAAAATCTATAAATTATTAGCAAAAATCATATTTAATTTCAAAATCGTGTATTAATGATAAAAAAGACGCGAATTAAAAACTAAATTACTAAACAAATTCAGTAAATTGAAGCATTTAGTAAATACAATAAGAAACATCTTTTATTAAAGATGTTATATGTTAAACTATCTGTCAAGGAAAACTATGCTAAAAATCTTTTATGTTAAAGAAAACTATACGTTATCAAAAATTTTTAACACTGTTAGTCATTAATTTATAACGTCATTAATTTATAACCCCAAAGAAAATGGAGAGAACACTATATCGACATTTATTTCCAACATCGCTAAATTACGCTACTTGTACAAAGGACTAGTAACCCACAAAGATAATTCCAATTACTTGCATTGTAAAAAGGCATTTTAAGAAAGACATGAACATAGATTTAAAATTTAAACGTGCCTGTCAGTCAGTCATAATTACAAATCTTATTTTTTATACTGTAAAACTTCAATTAGACCTTACATGTTTTTCCAGATAACTGATGCTGATTATCAATGTTTCCCTAAATAGCGGAGCTAAAACTTCCTAAAAGTTTTAATAAAGAAGTAAAGTAAAAGTTTTAATAATTTAGATTTTATTTCATGAAAAAATGTTTTGAACTGTTGAGTAAAATTTTTCTACAAATCTTAAAACGTGTTTAAAAACCTACAAATTATTGACCTATTTGCCGCACCTAAGTATTAAAAAACTATTCCAATCGCCAATATTGCTTTCAGGCAATATTTAAAAATCATTAGATGAGACACGTATTTTTGTTGGGCATAAGCACGATTATTTAAATTTGATAAATTCCAAATGTGTTCAGAATCTCAAATCTATCAAATTCTGAATTAAAATCCACTTACCAGGCGCTTCATGACTAGCCAACAGTCAGCACTAAAATTAACAGTCAGCACTAAAACATATTATTCGACTAGACAATGCTGTTTGATGTGATACTTCCGCCTAGCCAGCAATTTCTAAAATCAGCAATTTCAGTTAATTCGATCCCATTCTCAATTTTGAATAGTGAATTCATGTAACATTCGGTGTAAATATCTATTGAATGTTGAATACTGTTCAGAGAAAAGTGTCATTTCGCTGTTTAAAAAAGAGAGCGAAATATTTCTTTCGACAAAACAAGCCATTGTTACAAGTAGTATCATCACCAGCTTAATCGACAAAAATTGGAAAAAGCTAAATTTATAAAATTTTATTTTGTTTTCATAGCTTGTTAAATAGACTGTCATCCTGTTCAGTAAGTTTATAAATGGTAAGACAACTAAACAAGATGACTGCCAAAGTAAGTAATAAGTTTTTACTAATTTGTTAAATACAAATAAATTAGAATCTTAAGTATTCGTTCGAAACCATAATACAGTTAATTTATTAGTTTTGATAATGAAAAACTCGAATCTCGCCAACAGAAATACTGATTTAAATAAAATTCTGATTTGAATTTTATTAAATTTGCTTCTGCATTCTTAAAAGAAAACTTTGAACTTAATAGTTCCCTGCTTTATTTTGGAAGTAGTTTCAGTTTGTATTGTTTTGCAATTGTACACTTATTAATTATGACAAAGCAGTGTAAGATTATCTCGCTTAAGAATGAAAGCTGCTTCGTGACGGCCTTTCTAAAGAAATCTACCTAGTATTTACATTACACATTTGAAAATCATGGAAATGTTATTTAACTATTCGTTTCTGACATCATGATAATCAAACACACCATGGCCTACCAGTATAGCCGTTTAATCACTTAGCCTTTTATGAGCTTTAGCGTAATTCGAAATGGCCATCTGTAGTGAAGTAAATAAAGCCGCAAAACAATCGTAATTCGTTCTATGATCTCTTTCCCAAAGATTGAACGTTTAAGCTATTGCAAAACTGAGTGAATAATATTTTTGTGGTTTTCTTCATGTGCGACATTCATGGACCTATAGTCCTGGTGTGCACAGACATAATCTTCTCTGACTCAAAATAATCTTCTTCTGATTTAAAATAATCCTAGCATTAGAGTCAGGAAGATAGCGCAAAAGGTACGTTTTAAAATATTGTTTATAATTTCTAACAATATTTATGGTACTGATTTTACGCTACAGCATTGCTATAACAGCATAAATAAATGAACACATCATTCCTGCTACTCCTATAAAGAATCATAAACAATCAGGAAGAATAAAGAATTACCTTTTTTACCTTTATGTTTTTAAAGTTCTTCTATTACATCACTTCTTTCTGTTAAAGTTCCTTAATTATATTTTAGATATTTAAAGGTAATATCGTAATATTAATCAAATAAATGAGGAACACATACTTATTAACTTCCCACTATTCGCATTGCAAAATTATTTTAACTTGAGCCTGTTCTAATAGTGCCAGTTCTCCAAAAAAGCATCCCTAGCGTAAACCGAGGATTATTTAACAGGAGAATAAATTCTTTCGCATTAAAGACATATTTTATGACATCGTTTAATAACAGATGCATGAAAGCAATGCATAACAGGTACCAGAAGCTTTAAGGAGTTACTAGGTGCCCATGGGAAGAAAGTTTGTGCTGTCTGATTATTTCCTGCCAAATTCTTTTTCGACCTTTTTTACCACATACATCTGTTCATCATTTTTAAATATTTTATAATTATTTAGTGTAATACTATACAACATTCAAGTTATTCAGTTCATCTTTTTCAGTTTGTGATGAATTTTAGTTGCATTTTTATCTCAATTAGACGAAATTTAATGAAAGAGCGATCTCATTACTCGGCGGGAGCGTCTATTCGGTTGGATATTTTCACACGCATGCTAAGTAAGCAGAAATAGATGGAATGGAGAAATGATGTGATATATGTGATGTGACATGATATTTAATACATCTCAAATTTAGATTACTAACTGTACAAGTTAGTATATTACTATATTTAGGATGAATTAAATGTTTTTCTTCATTCCTATTTTTATTTTTCAAACTCTCGGGAGCTTAAAAAATGTCATTCAGCTGTTTAGAAAAAGAAAACATGTGACTTTCATTAACTGGCGGAGCCTTTACCTCAAATTATCGAAAGCGAATTTTTGCATTAGTGAATACATTCATATAGGTATCTGCGATGTATAAGTATAACCGAAGTTAAGTTTTTAGAAAATTTTAAAGATTATCTGCTAGCGCAGATAGCCGCCTAAAATAGCTATCATAAAAGAGAAAATATACACAATGATTTTGATGAGTCCAGCTAATGTCATCCCATGGTTCCAGTTAGTAACTAACAATAATACACATGAAGAACTATTTTTATTGCTTTAAATCGCTTAATTAATAACATGCATATTAAATTTTAAAAAAATTTAAATTCATATCATTTGCCGAAGGGTAACACATTGGCGCTGGGAAGATAAAATTATTTTATGTCAGAAACCGGCAAACACTTGTCGTATAAATCGCTGAGTTTGTTGATTAAATCTGAAGAGCAAATACTTCACACTTTGCCGAGTGGCAAACACATGTTTCTAACGCTATGTGCTATGTAATTAATAAAAGATAATTTAAAAATGTGATGTTTTACGTTTTTTAATTTAAGTAATAGTTTTAAAGTTTTTGAAATTTTTAATGATGAATTTTTCTTTGAAGTGTTGGATTGTAATCTCAAATTTTCAGGCCTGTAATTTCGTTTTGTTGTCCTTTTCACTTAAATTATTTAGTTTCCTTACTTTATTTTTTAGGTAAATTCATTCATTCTTCTGCTGTTGGCAGTTATTATTTTGCAAACTGAAGCACAGTTGTACAACATTGAAAGTTCAGGTTCCCTCGGTGGTGCTCCTGTTGGTCTTTATCGAAGGACTAGTTTGGGGCGAGAAGAAGAAAACATCGCTTCCTTGAGTAAGTAAAAATATTTCAGTGCATTCCTATAAGTAACCTGCATATTTAATAATACTTATTAATCATTTAAACTTCCCATACGTATATTTATTGCGTTTGGTATTTTCTTTTTCTTATACATGGCAGTATGAGAAAGTTAGGTTTTGTTTAGAAGCTAATGTTTTTAAATTCTTATTTCATTTCTCATCAATGATGAATGACTTATAGTATAATATGGAAAGTGCACAGACAAGGTCCCAAAAGAGTCAAAAACATAATAATGGGCAGAAATTTAACATGTAAGTAAAAGATAAAACTTTACATAGAATGCTGAATAGTCAAACGTTTTATATAGGTTTGTGTAAAATTCAACATAAATTCAGAAAAGCAGACTTCGAGGTATTGATTTTACTGTGATCTTACAGTATAAACTTAAAAATCACTAAAGTATTTCTATGAAAGTATAAAATAAATTAATTTTATAGAGAAATTCTTAAAGCAAAATAAATATAGAGACATTCTAATATCAGTCTGGGTATATTAATATCCTTTATATTTTATTTAGGAAATCCTCTTTAATTATAAGTCACGTATTTACAAACTAAAAGCATTGAAGAAGATATGTCTGGAATATAAGTAAATGTTCTCAGGATTATTTTTCCTTTAGAATGAATTATTAACAACAAATATGGCCCAGTTAAAAGTTAAATATAGAAAAATAATTTTTTAACTTTAAGTTCATATTCTGTACTGAAATTGTAAGGCTGAATCACTAAACTGACTTTGAAATAAACAAACTGAAAGGTATGAATGTATCTAAACTCACCGCATTCATTTAAAGAGTTCTTTTACAAGTGAGATTGCACGTTTTAATGAGAATAATCAGTTTCGTGTCGATTTAAATTTGTTACTAACTAATAGTTTACTTGATATCATTACTCAATGTTTTCTTCTATTCATTTATCAAAACGTATCACGGGAAGTTTACCTGAGTTAAAATATTAATATTTCAATAAACGTCTTATTTAATATGCACTAAGAATAACATTTATTAGACACTGCAAATAAAGCAAATGTTTATTCTTCTGCATGGCATTAGAAATGAAAAGCAGTACACTATTACGAGAGGGAAAGTTGTAAATCCTTACCTAGATGGGATAAGGCCAGTATCCAAAAGGTCTAATTTTTCATCAGAGTCACGAATGGCATCAGAAGAAAAAAATGTCAGCATCCTTTCGCTATTACATTCTAAATCAGGTACATTGTTAAGAGAAAGCTGTAATTAGTACGTTAAAATGAAAAAGATAACTAAACTTTATCCCAAAATTTTCAAAAAAGGCATTATTCTTTTTTCTGTGAATGTACACAAGTGTTGTAGATAAGAGTTTCCTGGAAAATCTTAATTTTACTTGCATTTTATATTTGCTGAGTAAAATTAGCATAGTATACTTTTCATTTCTCTTAATGTTATTAAATTTATCAAATTTGTTTTCAGGTGGTGCTAAAGTTGGTGTTTACAGTAAGCGAGAGCGATTCCAGCCACAGTTTATCCCAGTGCCATACGGAAGCTTCTTTCCTATTTCTGGACTGAAAAGATTTCGATATTTACCTCCACGAGTTCAACCACAACCATATAGCGGCGTTCCGCCACCACCACCACCTCGGGTCGTTACACAGTCACCACTACCAAAACGTCCAGCAGCAGCGTCAAAATCTGGAATTGGCCCACGAGCTCTTGGACTCGGATCATTGCTTGGTGACGTACTGGGTGGTTTAGGTTAACCTGCATGTCTTTACCTTCTGCAAATCTAACACAATTATCTTTTTTTCCTGAATACTCTAAATTTAGGAAAAAAAAAAAGAAAACAGTTACGAAGTTCTCTGTCTGATTTATAAATGCTCATCCTTTATGCCGACTACAAATAATGCAATAGAAAAGAATAAAATATTTACAAATTCTAAGATATTATGACCAAAATTTTACAAATAAATATTGTAGCTTATAATTATTGTGTACTTAATATATTTAGTGTTTTCCAGTTTGTTTTAATGCATTTGATTGATTATATACCTTAAAAATTCACATTCTTTCCCGTGCTAGAAATAAAGTAACAAAAACTTAGCTTTGAAGAAATATTAAAGCATACAACGTTGTGTATCATACTAGTGGGCTGCTAGTGGGCTTGCCTACTGACTCGCCTTCTGAAGACACGCCAGCCCCTTCAAACCCCTGAAATTTTAGCAATTAAAAAAATTATAATAGTAACCATGTTACAAACACACTATAGATATGAAAATCAAATTGAAGAATTAGCAATATAGTTATGCACCAAACTGCAATCCTCATTTACTCATCGCATTAATGATTTACAGTATAAAGGTTTCTCATTTACACAATCTTTAGGTTGGACTGGTTTTAGTAGATTATGGTAAAGCACACTAAGGCTATCAGCCTAATGGGGAAGATGTCTTCGTGGATGATTTTCTAAGAGAAACTGGCTAGTATGCACGTTACACATCGACAAAACCACGAAAATTCCTATGCAGCCAGCCCGTTCGTCTGGAATCGAAGTCAGGTCGGAACTACCAGTTTTCAGGGATTTTACTTCTCGGCTGCTAGTGGGCCTACACTTGTTTTTGGAAAGTGTTCCTAAAGCGTATTTCAAATTTTGTTTTTAAATGCAACCAATCTCTTCATTTAGTTACTGTAATTCAAATTTCGGAAAATTTAGAAATATGTTACAACTTTATAACGCATGTAATGTTCATATTATCATACTGGCTCGGATATAAAATAAAGATTTTTTTCTCCTAAAATCTCCCTTGGAAAACCTTTACGTATTCTATATTTGTAGCCTATTTACTTCCTTTTATACTCATGCATGAAATTTAGACAATTTAATTACCTTTTTTGCAGAAGACTCTCAGAAATGAAATTTATGAGGTAGTCATATATGCAAGATCTTTTTCCCACTCGTAAATAGTTTCCAACAATGTAGGATCATATTATACGTGACGCCTCTAATACTAATAATACTAAAAACTAACACTAAAAATATAAATAGAATGTCTGAGTGCGTTCAGATTTTTAACTTTCGACTGAAGGAGCTCTTTTAAAGTTCAGTATGGTTTGATCATTAAAGATGGCCCTGGTGGAATACGGAAACTTTTAATAGAATATTAGCTGAATCTGCATTTAGACTTGAATGGGAAGGTTGCGTACCATTTGTATATTTGAAAAGTGAAAAAATATATGAAGTAATTTTATAAAAATATTTAATGACTTTAATTAGATATATCATGAATTAAACGCAATTTTATTTAAATCACTCAGATTAAAAAGGTAATATTCTTAAGAACAGTATCTACTGCTTTTAAATAGCTGCTTTTTTTTCAGTCAATAACAGACAGACTAAATTTCAAAGATAAAAAATTTACCTTTTGCCGAATGGCAACAGACTCGAATGAAGAGTGAAATAGCGCATTTGCAGTAGACATGCCGCCCAACCGGTATAGTGGTTAGCGTTGCTGACTACCGTGCCGAAGGGTCCGGGTTCGAATCCCGGAGAAGGCATGGATGTTTGTATATGTTTAATAAAAATTTGTAAAAAACGTTTGTTGTTAATTTCAATATCAACCCTCACGAATTGGAGGAAACGGCGTTCGCCAAAGTCCTCATCATCTTTCTTCTTGTCTAAAAGGCAAGATTGATACTGATACTGATACTGATACAGTAGACATTTAAACTGAATCTCAAAATCGTGTTTCGAGATTTTTAGCCCTTTTGGGCTAATTATAAACTATTCACAGTAAGTTTTTTAAACATTCAATTTAACTTCTGTTTCTTTTAACTGCATAATGTCAATGACAAGAAAAAAATAACTTGAAAAATTATGATTATAACCCACTAATGCTAAAAATAATATACATTTAGCAAGAAAATTTGGTTTCAAAAATGCAACATTTTACTTCCAAATCATTGTGTAAAATCATTTTTAATAATTAAATTATTTAAGCTGTAGATGCATCTAAACTCTAAATCAGCAATTCTCAACCGGTGGTACGCGTACCGCTGGTGGAACGCAAGAGAAAAATAGCTGGTATGCAAAGAAACAAATATTTTTAATAATTAAATTCAAAACTATCTCCTGGAAAAAAAAAGAATTGATACAAATTTCCTGTGATCGAACTCTAACACAAGATTTCAAAATTAACACAGTTGTTAACTTTTGGATGACCCGCCCCCTCAAAAAAGAATATAAAGGCATTTCAAATAAAGATATCAAATTTTTATTGCCTTTATTTTGCGCCACCTATTTGTGTGAACAAGGATTTTCTTCCATATTGTATTTCAAAAATAAACACAGAACAAAATTAAAAGTGGATCTTAATTTACCCTTAAAGATAAGTGAAATAAGATTAGACATAAAGAAATTGATCTCTCTTAAACAGACCCCAATTTCACACTAAAGTTTAGAACTAAAGTTTTATAACATAAATTTTGATAATTAAAATTAAAAACAATTTTTAATCTAATATTTTTATGTGTGCGTATTTAATTCAAATAGCCAACAAGTTGTGCAAATGGAAAAATATTTTTTTAATTATTTCTATCGAGAAATTGAAAAATAGTCACTGTAAAAATGCAGTGGTTTACTAAATTTTTTCAATTTTTGTTTATATGGTACGCGTTAGTTAAAAGGTTGAGAACCGTTGTTCTAAATCCAATTTATTATTTAAATCTGTTAATTTAAAATAATTTATTGGAATCTAATCGTTTTCTAATATTTTTAACTTCTTTGTGTTTGTTGTATTCGTGTATGCCAGGGTGACTTTATTTGTGCTATTGAAATATACACGAAAGTGTACTTGCTCAGGCACATTTTGTCCTTTAATTTTCGTCTTGGAAAAGAAATAAATATTCAAATTTTGGTTTTTACCATAAGAAATATCAAAGTTTTGACAATTTTCAACAAAAAAATATGGTTATTGTGAATTTTTCTCAAAATAAAACGAATGTTAAGGAATTAGAATGGTTAAATCTAATAGCCACTTTTTCTTCAGGTACAGAATGTAAAATTACGTTTATCGAAGCTCATAAACATTTCTTATCATGAACTTCGATAAACAGTGTTTTTACAGACCAGTGGAATAGCAACAAGCAAACTTATTAGTTGTACAACTAGAAAATAAATAGCTTTTCTTTATTAGGTAAAAGTTTACAATTGAGTGCCCCTTGTTTCTTGGCGATTCTTTTTAGACGCCAAGATCGGCGCCAGGAAGGCACAATTTCAAAATGGCTTCTACATAAAACCAAAATAAGAAGTCGAAGAATTGCACAAAACTCTGTGTCTATGTACACATCCATCTGTTTTCACTTAAAAAAATCATAGAATTGCACAAAGTAGGACTGCGCACTGCCTTAAATTTGTCCATGTACACATCAATCTATTTTCATTTAAATAAAATCAGGAAGCTAAAACAAAGTAAAACTATCATGGTAACCAGAAGTGAGGTTTCATAGCCAAAATTTAAAAACAAATTGTCGCTAATCGAAGGAGCACCCAATTCTACACTAGAGCCCTTTATTAATGTTTCCAAACCCCCTAATGCACTTTAAAAATATAATAGAAGTCTTTTCAGAGCAAAGTATGAAGAATGATGAATGATATTTTCATAGCGTAAGAATGACAAACTCAAGACCATATATAAATAAAAATTTTAATTCATTGCACAAATTTAATAAATATTAGCGGCTGCAACCAAAGCAAAATTTATACCAATAAAAAGCAAATATATAAAAACATTTCAATATGTAGGAAATCAGTTCATTCTTTCATAGCAACAACTAATTCGTAAATAATTTTTGTTGCCAAACCAGGAAACAAAATCTTTTGACACTTTAGGTTAATACGTATGATGTCATAATTTAAATTTAATGTAATATAACAATTTTTTCTCAATATCAATAGATGAATTAGCGTGCCAATAATACATCGTTCCAGTTATACTGACATGAAATAAAAACGTCGCCAATTTAAAATGCTGACATTAAAGAAATATTTTCGACATACAATAATTTCACATGCAATCGCGTGCTCTCTTCAACGTCAGAATATTTACTTATATAATAATAATATGTTTAATGTATGGCAGTGCTATTTTTATTCCATATTTTGTAAAACTTACAACCTTTTGATTAACAAAGTCTATGGTTTGAAAGCGAGCAGTAAAAGCAGCTCCCTTTTCGAAATAAAGCATTTTCATCTGCAACGCTCGAGACTGTTTCCTTTCGGAAAAATGAGTGCAAAAATTAGCGTTTTCAGAGTTTTTACCTCGGTTAATATCTCGGCTTGAATGAGATTATGACTGCTCTTGGTGCTTCAGCTGAAGAGTTGAACGTTGAAAGATGGCTTATTGCATTGGTAAGCCTGAAACTTTTCCATCTCTGGTGTATGGTTCTTGAACCATTATGAGAACCACATCATAATCCTTGTGTAGATTTTACTACGTGGTTGGTGGCGGTCCATGGTCTTTGGAGTTTGATCTACGTGCGTCTGATATTGTCTTTGTTGCCTGCATTTGTAGAGAAGTTATTCTCACAATGTGTGATGTTGTTGCTGTATAATGTGAGTGTTGTAGTAGAGGCATTCTGTAGACTGCTGTGAGTGTTCTCTGCTGTGGTTGCTCTTTGTGCGGTAGTTGGTCTCACAGCAGTTGATGCATTTCGGACACTGTACCAGGCGTTGTTGTATCTCGTGGAGTCCGAGCAGTGAGTGCAGTAAATTCCTTTTTTGCAATCCTGCTGCGAATGCTCATTTCCTGGCACCTGCAGCAGAGTTTGGTTCTGAAACGTTCAGTTATTCTGTGTGCGTGTCATCCAATGAAAGGTGCATGAATGCTTAGAATGCTTATGAGGAACATTCGATGACCCATGTGACATTGTGGCTATACGCTGTTAGGTGACAGAGGACTTTGACTATGTGATGGGCAAGATTGAATTCTATGGCCAGAATGAATGCGCTCTAGTTCTTCTTTCTGTATGGTATCTGGTATACTATGAAATGCACTCCTCGGCTTTCATTCGACTGGCGATTTTGTATTGTACAGCTCAGTCCTGTTTTAGAGAACTTTCTAGTTTTGCAAAGTCGTTCTTTGTATAGACCTTAATTGCAAATATGCGAACGGTTGATATTTCATTCGCCATTCATTAGCCGTATAGAAAGTAATTGAGTAATAACATAGCAAAATTATGCAGTAGAAAACAAGACCAACTAAAATATTTATCAGAATGTATAGCTTACAGAGAGCAACAAAAAAAATAATAATTTAGAGTGCAATTGCAGTTTGTAGGGACTGAAAAGAAATTTTAATATCTGTAGTAAAAGCTGAATATTAAATTACAAGGCAATTGGGTCTAAGTAAGAAGATCAAATAATGGAACGACAAATTTCACCAAACTCTTGGCTGCTACAACTGAAGAACCAAAGAAACTTCTTCTCCGTTAGCTGTTCCAGCTAGTTCAAATTTCAAGTGAGCGTAGGTACTTAAGATCACGAAACCAACATAAAGGCCTCCAAAAATTGTATATACACTTTAGCAAATAATATCTGCGCCCTTTTTAGAAGCTGAATCGAATAATAGTAGTAGTATCTAATATGGTTTCCTCTCAACAGGTCTTATTACTTTCGTAGCTGTAAAATGAATATGTGACGTAAGGTAAAGAATCAAAATGACTGGTGCACAGTTGCCGTTTGAGAAGTGAGCCCACTGACGGGTCTTACAGAAAAAAAAATCACAGTAGTATATGCAGCAGTCCCAATGGGTACTTTGGGGGCTAACATTTCTCAAACGACGGTTGACCGTTGCAATATATTTCTCGCCTCTGGCGGTTGCCATTATGAGCACTTTCTGCAAGAGGTCTCATGCAATTGTATTCATCCTACAATACAGGAACAAGTTTAGTATTGACATATAATTGTGTATCTGTGATATCATCCCTTCTTCATTCACCGCCTCATAGAGAAATAACTCCACCTTCTTGTATTTTTAAACATTTATTTTACAAACACAAACTAATACTAAACTACACTACTAATAACTGAAATATATAAAGTAATAAAAGTGAATTTCGGTTTCATTAATGGCTCCCACGAGCCTTCCGTATGACCTCTTTGTCGGTCTCCCTCTTGGAAACTAAACTTTTGGCGCCTCTCCAGACTGAGAGTTAGCGCCCTCTATACATCTTGTTGGTTGGCGTCACCCATACATCACACCCCCCATCCAAGATTGAAATAGGGTGAAAGCCTATTGAAATATGACAAATTATGGTGACGTCAAACGAAAGAGTTACTTACCTACTAAAGTCTACAAATCAATCGATACTGAAGTTGAAAGATATATAACACAATACTTATACAGGTTAGTTCTACACCTACTACAAGACTTCTTCTAAAACTGTAACATATAAATGATTAAAAATTAGTATTCAAACAATTCTAATGCAATAGAATACTTAAAGCGTCTATGATATACTTAAAAGTCTCTAGGAGAGTAGCTGAAAAAGAAAACACACATAAAAATATAATCTTAAGAGTTCATAAATGTCTATGAAAAGTTCTTTCTTTCACACAAGTCACTCAATAGTCTCTAGTCTGGACAACGCATCAGCATTGCTTAACTTAGCACCTGGGCAATGTGAAATTGTAGTATCATACTTTTGTAATGCTAAAGCCCATCTCTGTAACTTAGAAGATTGTGGTGCGTTCTTTGTGATGAA